CTTTTCCAATTTAAGTATGCTGACTTTTTTACCTTAACTCATTTTTATCAGCAGAAAAGTATCTTTGAGCTTTTACAGTAACAAAATTTGTTCAAAACAGTCATCTGCAGCTCAAAAATTTAATACCAGAATACTAAATAAGACGATGTGGCCTGAACAACTGCGCTGTGCCAATCAGTCCTCTAACGAAAGCTGCCATGGCTCAAACGGATGTCAGGGATGTCCCATTGTGACTTTTGTCAGTAGCAGTCAAAGGAGATCGTATGCTCTCAGAATAACTCAGGGACCTCAAAATCCCTCGTGAAGTTGATTTCCACTTTTCTACTAACCTGATTTGTGGGAAAGGAACAACATGACTACTGCAATTGTGAAAGGGCATTTTTATGGATCACACATTATACAGTATTTAAGACATGTTTTGCTTTTCATTTATCCCCTTTTGCCAGGATACTCCAACTCGGCATGAAATAAACCTTCAGAAGAAAGCCATAAGCAAGCTGGTATTTCAAGTCAGAATTTATCTCAGAGGGATACTGGCAAAGGAAGTGGTCAGAAGCAAAACCAAACTGTCTAACATGGTAGGCTAAAGCTAAAAAGGCACCATAGGAAGCACAAGTTATTTTAACATGGAAGGCCACTGTCAGAGCTGCAGACAGGGAGATAACAGCTCTGTGAAGCACAAACCCTAGAGCTTGTAACAAAAGATTTTTATTATGTGAAACACTTAACTGTTATATGAAATTCTACATACACTAAATATTTTCCTTTTTTTTCCCCCCTCTAACTATAGTCTACACTACTTACTAATCCTTGATAGCTTTATCAGGTCCTATTGCAAAGTAGCATACAGTTAGAAAGTTGTAATTATGCCATAAAATTTTTCATGAAAATGGACCCTTTACTACTGTCTTCAAAAATTTCTGTATGCTAGCCCAAATTTTATTTTTAAATGGTGTTTCAGTGTCTCTAAGTATAGATAGTTGATAATGTAAGTTATAAAAAGAGCTGTGTTTAAACAGTTTCTGTAGCTCTAATGTTTAACAATAACAAAACCAAACATCAGGAATTAAGAGGTTCAAGCAGGCTTGATGGCAACCCCCTTTGCCTGGGGGAACCCAGCAGCTCAGCACAGCAGGGCCAGCACTCCAGCTTTTCCTCAGTGCAGTTCTTTACCTACTGGACAAGCCCAGAAACTATAACAAAGTCTTAGCAACACTTCATATCACACATCGGTTTTGAAACCAGTTTGTTAATGTTTCTAGTAACAACAGGAATTGCTATAAATTTCAGGTAATATCTTAACTGGTTGTGAAACATTCTTATGTAAGCACCTGTATGAAGTTTAACACACTGGTGTTTAGGCTATTCCCAGTATCTGTGATATTTTCATATACATCTAAAAACTAGACAACTAAACATTTAATAGTATTTACTGAATAAACATTTACAGAACAAGCCACTGTGCAGCAGTGGTTGGAAAACTGCCCCTCTAAAATCTACAATGATTTAACTAAACATACATCTTTCCTAGATGCACTCAGTTCTGAAATTGCCTAATTTCCTGAATTCCTTTTTCTACTTGTCAGTTCTGTAGTATTTCAAAAGGGATTATCTCTACTTAGATGAAACATCATAATTGTTTTCATTGAGTGTAATTTGCGGAATCCGTAATTCCAAGAAACTTATTAGCATACTATCAAGATGATAGTACAGTTGCTAGTGTCATAGCTGTCCTTTAACTGAATTATCCATTTGAAAGGAACTCCCAAGCATCAGACAACTGAGTTACTCCACAGCTTACTGACCTTCTTATATGAAGCAGACTACTGGTTATGAATCAGTGTTATTAAAATTCACATTATGAAATTACTACAAAGCCCGTGTTATTTAAATCGTAATACTTAGTTCTATTGAAAAGATGAATTAAATGCAAAATAAGACTACAAGTGAAAAAAGTTATGGTGATACTCATCATAAAATAGTTCCATTATCGGATTGCCAAAGACTCATTTGTTCTCCTAGACCCTCAGAAGGGATATATATTAAAAAAACCACAACTAACTCCATAACTTGAAGATTTTCTCAGGATTAAAAACTTGCACAGCCTATCCTCAATTGTCACTCATGCAACTGTGCATACATAAAACTTCACAACCAACTTCAGTCTTCTTGCTTTAGCATACACAGTACACATCTTTCTTAATTTAGATACTGGCATTTTGGAATGAGGCATTCTAGTGGCAGAACACCAGGAGAGTTGAATTTCCAAAGGCTCAGCACCGAGAGAACAGATTAAACTCTTTTCAACTAGTCCGTTCAGGTTGCTCATCCTCCACATAGCATCCAAGTTTTGGACAGAAACAGAAAAAGCATAATGTATTCAATGAAAGAATTAATAACCACTGTTGGCACAAATGGTAGGTCAGTTCTAATTACACCTTATTGCAAAGGAAACTTCAGCTAGTCACCGCACATATTTTTACCTATCTCAAGCGAAGCTGATTAAGAAACAGAGTTGGAATGAAACTGCACAGAAATACTGATCCCAGAGACTTTTATGTGGGTGCCAAGGTTTGTGTGTAAATATATATGTTTGTGCATGTGTAAAAAAAAACTCAGACATGAAGAATGTGAACAGAGGAATGAGGGCATCTCTAGTACTCATCAGTTTGCTTGATGACAAACAAATAAGCTCTCTTGCAAAAATTTCAACACCTGTTTAACTTCTGTTCATTTTATCTAGGAGCCTTCTTTTATAAACATCTGAAATTTTCCAGTATTTTCCCTTGAGAGTTCAAATTTCTTCCAAAAACGCCAATAACTTTTGTGATTGAGCACCTTAGGTTATTTCTTCTCCAATTGTAACACATTGTCTCCTGGTGAAGAATAATTGCACACTCAGCAAAATCTATGTTGGTGAAGTTTCTTGAACACGTTGCAGTATCAAAACCAGCATGGCCTCCATATCCAGTAAGTTCATTTGGTTCATCTACTAGTTTTTCTACTTTACAAACAGTTGGATATATTTCTGGAAAAAGGCTATGACATCAAGGAAAAACTGGTGGTGTTTGGGTGCCTGGAAAAAGGGGAAGAGAAATCTATCACCTCTGATGATGGAACATCTATTTGAAGACCTCCACTCAGTCCATCTGAAGACCTGTCTCTGTCCTCCCCACAACAGATCTAAACACTGTTAACTCTCAGATTCCACTATTTCTGCAGCAATCAATGACGATCATTGGTTTTCCTTTAAAATACAGGGCCTGGGTTGTTTTTACAAAGCTTCTGTCCAGATTAGTAGTTTATTTTCATTGAGTAACACAGATATGTTTGTTCAAACGCATCACAAAGTAGACCTAAGCTACAGCTAGCAGATGTGTGCCATATTTATTCAAGTAGCTTTCTACTTAATGCTGCTTTTGACTGCCTCCTCTCTTATTACTCAGTGGTTCAGATCAACACAGTAAGCCGATAAACTTTGTTTTAACGGTAACATTTGGGGTATTCAACCTCATAAAGACCACCTTTGCTCTCAAGCTGACAGTCCAACATATGCAAACTCAGAACCTACACTAAGACATCCAGCAAGGGGTTCTCCCATTTACTAACTGTATTCATGCAGGAGAGAGCGGTTTTATGTATTTCCTATCGGAAAATATGAGGAAGGAAAGAAAAGTCCTCACTTATTTCAAGCCTCCTCATATAGAAATATGTCTACGGAAGGAGTAACATGGCATAGCTCACATTATGAATCTTACTGATTTTGTTCTGACAGCCATCAGGCTTTAAAATAAGGGAGTCATAAGTATTCACAGTAATATCAGCATATACTGTAATCTCCAGACCAAAACCAGTTTGCTCTTGTCTTTGAATATATTCTGTGGAATTGATTATTCACAGAAACAATTTCTAGCTAGATGTTACTGAGCACTGCAATAATATACTGTAAAACTGGGCCCTGCTTTGTCCTTTTTTCCTCTCCAGCTATCACTTTGCAGTCCAGAACACAGGAAGGAAGTAACAATGGCAAAGAAATCTAAGCCACCACACTCCATTCATCAGAAACAAAAGACTGCTGAGTCCAGAGCTATACAGGAACAGCATGGAGGGAAGGCTGCCTTCAGTCCCACATTTCACCCCTCTCCAGGTTAACGGGATCCTGCTACAAGTAAATTGGCACACCTGCCATTTAATCTGCTTGAAAGCAGAGAATCTTCAGCAAGGTTTATCAAATGATAGTGAAAGTGTTATTATTACAATTAAACAACAACAAAAAAAAATCGCTATATCCTCCAGAGATAGGCCATCCAAACTTGTGGTTAAACTTCTAAGATCAAGATTAAATACCAGTATCCCAGAAGTGCAAAGGATAGGTTCTCATTAAGACTATATTTTGCTGTTTCTGTTAAAACAATCAATATTTTAATGCAACTTAAAAGAATCCTATGCCCATGCAACTCCTTTTTAGTTTGCTTTCTTTTTGAAAATCCAAATCATTAGTCAGGAAAATTATGACAATAATCAGCATACATCAACAGACATCATTTGAGTTATTGCTTGAATAATCATTCTAAGCCAACATAGAAAGAATTTCCACTGTGGTATTAAATTTTGAAAATACGAATCAAAAAGAATGGCTGGTATTTCTCAATGCAGTTAGTGTTGGTATAGGCTCTGCTGCATAAACTTCAAAAAAAGAATTTATGCATAATTTCTTTGTGCATATGTATTTATATACACACATCGCCCTAAGAGTTGCTCACTCTTTCTTAACCTGGAGTAAGTGGTGAAAAACTCAACAAAAGATCATAAAAGCAGCTCGGGTAAATTAACAGATGCATGGACTTCATTAATAATGAAGAAGAAACTTCTGTTTTAGCCTCAAGTACAACAGAATGAGTTGTTATTTTACATTTTAACATTAAATATTAACAGAGTAAGTCAATGGCAGTAAAACTACAATGACCAATCCTGTAGGAAAAAAACAAACACATCCATACCTTCACTACAAAATGGTCTTTTGATGCCAGAGAAATTCACCGTCTCATGCAGCGTTTTCTCCTCTTGACAGTATTCACAGTATGTAACTATGCAGTGCAGTTTCTTATAGTCATCAGAACATCCTCTGCTGCAGAACTGATACACTTTGTTCTAAATGCAAAGTTGTAAGGCATCACAAATAGAGTTAATGGATAAAATCTTAAGATCTGGAGACTGCAACTTTAAATAACAGTTTGCCATTAAGACACAAATTTAACATGCAAAGTAAACAGAAGCACAAGCACACAATTAAGGTATGACTTCTAATGCTAAAAATTAACAACTCTCACTCAAGCGGACAGTGAGTGCTACAAAGACTCATCATTTCATAGGAAATTGATAAACAGAAAATACGCCGATCAATCTTAGCATATCCTCTTCAGAATCTTCTCTCAGACCATTATTTCTCTTCTGTATGCACTATCATATCTACAGTAATACAGTAACTGAAGACAAAAGCAGATTTCAAACTTACAACTGATGAGAGGAATTACATTTTTTCTTTAAATTCCACAGATGCTTTTTTATTTGTTATTTATGAACAAGGACTTCTGCTTTTATCCATACTAAAGTTAAATGATACTCTACAGAACCAGGCAGATTTTATTAACAATTTTTTAAGCTTCGATACTTTACAAAAGGGTTATCAAGAAAAACTGTATTTGAGTTACAGGTTTAAACTTTTTAACAGTTCACCATTCTGAAAATAACAGCAAAACTTTCCTTACCTCCCACTCCAGTACTTCTGGCTTCGAACAAAAAGAACTTTTGCAATAATTACATTTCAACTGAATATCACTGGGAGAGACAAACTGACCATTTGTCGAAGACTGCACACTGAGAGTCTGAAAAATATAAACATACATATACATCACTAAAAAAGTAAGTTACTTTTAAAATGTGCTTTTCAATTAAGCCTATAGTGTACAAGAACGTGGGAGTTGATAAATAAACTCAGGAGCATTTCTGGCAAAGGCACAGCAGGTTAGTCTTTACCTTAATTCCTTTTCCCTTGTCATCTTAGGTTTCCCAATCTTGAATCTTTACCCTTGCTTCCACTGTAATTACTTTAGGTCATATTTCTTTTACCTTACCTTTCTAATGCCTGTTACTTAAGGGTAATGTATAGATGCAAAAAAAAACCAATAAAAAACCAAACAAAACAAACAAAAAACCCAACAATCCACCAGTCTCTCAAAACTGAACATCTGTTAATCATATAACACGTATTTTCAGATACATACATTTCACAGCTTGCCTTATTTTAGTCACAGAAGTTCAGAAAGACTTACAAACAATATTTTCAAATCCAAACCTCACCAAGGCAGGTTATGAACACTTTACTGAAGCATACCACTTGAAAATAAAAATACTAAAGTAAAAGGCCTTCAGTAAGAAACCCTGCATCTACTCAGATTAAGAGCAAACTAGCTAATAGTCCCAGCTGGCCTTGATCACCATGGCACGAAGATGCAATCCTTCAAGCAGCCAGCCCCTAAACGATGAAGGGTTTTCAGATTGAGAAAAAAACCTATAGATCACATGTGTAGGTATGAGAATTTAATTCTGTAACTGAGTAATTCACTTAACACATTTCTGAGGCAATCAGTAGATAGAGACCTCAATTTTACCGCATCTGTAGTCTTCCAGTAGGTCTATAGGAAGAACACTACTATATATGTACTGCTGAGGGCTAGCTACTATCAGTATCGTTTTGTGCAGATGCACTAATTCTGTACCAGGAGTTTGCAGACATTAAGTAGTCACGAACATTTCCCAAACACGGGCAGAACCTGAGAACAAAATGCCACATACTGCAGAAAAGATGTCACTTTATCCCAATGGTCCATTGTCCCGTAACAATTTTAGCAGTCTCATGCCCACATACAGTATTGTCATATCTCTCCCACTATATCCACCAAATGTCCCTGCGGTTGAAAGAGGTTTGCTAGACTTTGGCTGCTCTAAACACGTAGCTAAAGTCTTGTACTAATATGGGAGCCACAAAGGTGTTTTAAGCTCAAGGTCCAATCTGTGTATTTCTGCATTTGCAAGTTTCCTCAAAAAGCAAATACCGGGCTCAACACATGCTGCCATATGCGTTATGTAAACACAATGAAAGTCCTAGAAGTTCTGGTTGAAAACAAAAAGAAATCAGGAAGCAAGTATATCCACCACTTCCAGTTCAGGAATGAAGGGAATGTTAAAGAACTAGCAGGTGTGACAACCTGTACAGAAACACTGAAGACAGAGGGAGGAATGAAGGCGAAATATAGTAAGTGCTCATCAAATGAAAACCAATCATATTTTTCATGTCTGTGATTACCTTTAAATATGGGATCAAAACATCCTATTGTGAGGGCTAGAAGTGAAAAGTAAAATATAGGGATTTTTGTTTTCTGATATATGGCACTATTAAATTCTTTTATTTCTTTTCCCAACTGTTTGCTGTGATAGAAATTCAGGTCCTACATAGTCTATAGGGCTGGTAATTGAACAATAACAAAAGCTAGAAATGTGACAACAATGGAGTTTGAGATGGTTTAAAATTAAAAATCGTTTTAAAGAACATTTACATCTACCTGCAGATAAAAAAATCTAAGCAATAAAGCATTACTGCTTCTAAACCAAACCCAATGTTTTTTATCATAAATCCCTAAGGTCAACTAAGTATTTTCCCATAGAAATCCAGTAAAGAACTGAATTCGTATTACCGAAAGCTCTAAACCAAGCAGAAGATGGCTGTAAACCCAACAGTTAACCACAACATGATTTTGTATGCCTCCTTAAAGTTTCTATTATCCTGTTTACAATTAAGGACTGCTTCTATATAGTGTTTTAATGAGTCAAGATGACATGCACATAGCATTCTCATCATCTTGATTTACCTCTAACCTATAAGATGCTTAGAATAGAGAGTATCTTCAGAAATTATAGGGAAGCCTTATTACACACAAAGCTTCATTAAAATCTTTCACAGGTTATCCCAAACAGCAAGGTTTTATCAAAGATAAATATATATATATATACACACACCCCCCTCTCTTTTGAATATCTTAAATTCAGTCAAAAAATAGTTACCTTTAACCTGACTTTTCTTGAGCCTGCCCTGAACAAGAGCATGGGAAGCACCAAGCAAAGTCAAAAATCATTGTAAAACCCTTTCCAGCCTTCAGTGCAACCACCTCAAATTGCTCTAAGATGCCAAATTACTAAAGAACAGTAGACAGACACAGTCTAGGACTCTTCTGAGACAACCAGCGTAGTAGCAGCTGAAGCAACAGAGGGATTATCCTTGCTTACAGCAACACAAAATCAAACGGTGGCAACAATTCTGTATATAAATGTGTATGTGAAAGGGCCAGTAGGCAGCCAGGCTGTGGTCAGTTTTTTCCTAGTTGAGAAAAAAAATAACTTTGTAAGAATCAAATTGTTCTTACTGTGAAAAACAACATATGACGAATATTTTACCTATGGTCATCCATTAGGACTGTTCCACAAGAAAAATCAAGGGCACTAAATTAAGTGCGGAAGGAACCAAACACTCCCCTTATGCTCATGCACACACAGACCTCCCAGCCTCAGCATGAAAGCCTCAATTATTTTTATTACGATCAAATTTTGAAAAGTATTTCTGTGACAAGCACACCAAGCTTCCTCCATGCTTCCCGCTCCTTTTTTAATATACTGATGTGTGTGTGTGAGAAAGAGAGATGCAAGGTATATAATGAAGAACACCTACAGACATCACAGTGATGGTGAAAAAGAACACATTAGTGAATAACCAGAGTGAGTAACCTGCTAAAAAAACATTGTACTTATGATTCTTAAACATACTGGTCCTACAACTCTCCACATACCTCCATAAACTTAAAAAAAAAAAAAAAAGGAAACTTTAGCAAAAAATTTTCTGACAATTTTGCATAGACTCATGTTTTGCAAGATAGCTTGTACTTTAAGACACTTACACAGTTGCTAACTTTGGGAAGACATTTGTACCACAGCCTCCGTGTTCACAATAAATAAATTAGCAGTTTATTTTTCCTTAAGAGACAAAGTTCAGAGCAAGACCTTCAATTGACCCAGTAAAAGTACCGACAGTAAAGCTGGCTTAAAACAATCTAACTTTTGAACAGTTCTGTCCTTAACTCTCCAATAACATCCTCCAAGACAGAGCATGAAAGAAGACAAGATACAGTCACACTGTTCTACCACCAACTACCAAACAAAAATCACAAAGCCAGCTATTCTTCCTGTTTCATACAAGGATGAATGCTCTTGCAAGCTGTCTGCACAAAGAAGAATATAGATATGGACATTAAGTTACACAACAAGGAGCTCAACTCAATCTTTTGTATATTTTAATATATTAAAACAACTGTTAGCTAGAAACAAAAGGTTATTCATAAGATAAAATGACAATCAACTCCAAAGTACTGTAAAAAAGTTCAGAATTTAAATACTCCAACCCATTTGTTAACCAAAAGGACTAACATTTTTTTAGAAGAGAGACACAGACCTGAAACAGCAGTTACTCTTTCCTGAGAAGAGTAACCCCTAACAAAGAACGTCATACAGGAAACAGGCACAGTAAGATAAAGGGATGAGTATAAAGCTCAAAAATCAAAACTAGAGTCATCTGCATTAGTCAACAGTGAAAAATATGGATCACCATCAGCCTTTTTTTTCCAAAACATCATTGCACAAAGTATTACAATTGACCAATTAAACCATTTTCTCAGTTTAGGTTCAATCCCTTATGTGTCACTTAGGTACAAAAAAAGCCTCAAGGGAACGCTTACAGTCCAATGTTCACATTGTGGCATACCATCCTTTCCATGTAAATTCTAAATGAACGGAACAAAGGAGCTGTTCTCATACAATCAACTCTTTTCTAATAGTGAATATATTTTATTCTTCTAGACAGAAGAATATACGAAAACTTATCAAAATTTAGAATCCGACAGAGATGTCTGAGCAAATCAACCATAAGGAAGTGACCACCAACCCATTTTTGGTCTTTACTGAGAAACTCAGACTGTATGGCTGCTCTAATTAAACTCCACTACAACATTAAAGACATAGCTACATGCAGAACTGAAACTACAACAGAAGCACCAGCAAGGTCTCAGTAAGATCAGAAACCCACAACCAGTATCAACTGATCCAGCAGTCATATTCAATAATGTTGCTTAATGTTGACTTATCTGAAATTCCAAGGCAGGCCAGGCTGTATTTGTCATTCACTAACTTTATTTTCGCATTCAAATAGCAGAAAGGTTTTGTTCTGAGAGCACATGGGGCTGCAATCAATTGTAAGACCATGTAGAATAAATAGATGCCAAATGAGTTTGCAAGAAGTATTACATCCTAACAACCTGCACATATTTTGTGAATCAGTCCCACTGACAGACATCTACTAAGTTGTCTAGGATAGAAGCACAGAACAGGGCTACATGATGGAGGTCCTATCCAGGGTACATTAAGAAAGTAATTATGAGATTGATTTGCCTTCCAGATAACAGAAAAGTTTAATGACAAATGGGAAAACTCTGTATGGCTTTAACTGGTCAACAACACATGAGAAGGCAATTATCAACTGAACAGTGCGCATCTGGGAAAACTTGTTTTTACATACAAAAAGAGAAACATTTGCTTTAAAAATGTCCTTGTATCACTGAGAGATTAATCACTACAACACTTTTTACATACGCTTTAACCTTAAGTCACACTAAAACCACGATATCTCCAACAAGCAAAGCAGCCTCTTGCAGTGTGCCTATCATTAGGACTGCAACACTCCAGTTTCTAGACGTAATTTAAATGGTTACTTTAATCCATAAACCAATGGCTAAGCTCTAACCTTTCATTTCAGAGCCAGTCACTATCCTCCATGACACACCTTTGTTAGTATGATATTCAACATGAGAATTTTGTTACTGTATTTGCTATAAAAGAGATTAAACTTGTTGATTTTCAATGCAAAACAGCAAAGCCATCTCCACAAAGAGGCTAGAGTGGTAAAAATGAGATGAGCAGTGATATTGCTTTGCTTTTTCTTACAGTATCAAGGAGAAATGGGTTGTTATTATTCGATTTTGTAAGTTTAAGATAGCAGCTAGTGTTATCATTATAAAACAGTACTTTGATCAAAGTAATAATTATAAGCCAAAAGCATCTGCTACGTTAATTGTAACTCAAACATGTCCATACAAACAAGTTAGTTTAATTCGCAAATACTTAACACAAACACAGGTACACAAATATTTAGGGAGGAAAAGATTTAACACAACAGCTAACCTGAAATTTAGCTACACAACTGGAACTGCAAAAGTTGTACAGTTTTCCATCAGGCATTGTGGCTTGATATTGAGGTAAAGAGTTTCGTTTACAAAAGTGGCAAATAATTCCCATACCTAAAAGAAAAACGTAGTTTACAAACAAAATAAACACAAAATAGTAGCGCAGAAAAAAACCAACCACCTGGATTACAAGTCAGCTCTTCCCACCATTTCAGTGTAAAAAACTAACGTTTGTCTGTTTTACAGTCATCTCCTACAAGTCACATAAACCAAAAGAAACTGCAGAGATTTTGCTGAAGTCTTCCATTAAAGATCAGCATTAAATATGAAATTGCACCTTCTACAAAATTCACTAGAGCTTTTTCAACTTTGAGTTCGCTGAATTGAGATCTATGCCTGCTTTACATATTGAAGAACACACATTTTGACATATTTACCAGTTCCTTTCACCCAAATTAAAAATTTTACCTAGAGAATATCCATATCCACTAGAACTACCTCTATCCTTCTCCAGTCATTGCTTGAGGAGATGAAATGGGGTGGGGTTGGATCACAGACAAGAAAATATTAATTCATATGCATGAAAATTGCACTATCACTCTGTGACACAGAGCACACGATGTCTCAACATTTTTTCCCAGAAAACCTAAAGACAGTTCAAAACTGTTTCTGACAGCAAGCAAAAAAGGACAGTGGGGAAAATAACTCCTCATGGGTCCATTTACTAGTGTTGAATATGAGATGATTTTTTTTTTTAATAAGTTTAAAAACCTATAAAGTCACATCTGCATAGATTAATTCTAAGACAAAACAACCCACCCCCAGTGTTCAAACTTAAAAAAAAAAGTCTACTCTTATCAGTGATGAAAATCCATCATCCTTTTCACTTACTTTGTGAGTTTGCATATTTTGCTTTGTGTGTGTTCATGCATGCAGTTGAGCAGTATGGCTCCATATATCCATTAGGTCCTATGCACTGTGTCATGTCAAAAAACCTGCACTGAGCTCTGCACCCAGTACAAGATGTTAATTTGCCATATTTCTAAAACATAAAACAAAGCAAAACAATGCATTAGTTAAAACTATGTTTGGCTTTTAGTTTTAAATTATGGTGTAACAAACACAGAGGAAAACTTACTTATTTATTCCTGCAATTTAGTCCCTCATCAGAACCTTCCTACATTAACTAACTCATGATCATCCTCTCAAGAGCCTTCAGCACTATGGTTGGGTCTCTTACTCCTGAGGGGAAGCTGGCTAAAACTAAACTTCTGTGCAGAGACAAAAAACAAACACACACTCCACAAAGAAACCCAAACAAACAAACCAAAACAAAACCAAAAAAAATCCATCCCAAACTCCACCATCTGCAGTAAGAGTATACAGCAAATTGTGCTGAGTTGGAGAGTTTGAAACAACTCTGTTCCTCTCTCCTTGTTGATGGGATAACGGTTGTAAGAAAAGAAACAGGAGTCTGGCAAGGCAAAGATGAAGGATAAATAATGGTGCTAAACTTTGAAAAAAGTCTGCACTCTCCAAATGATAACATGCTTAATATTATCAAGTATGAGTTAGGCATAGCGATTTCTTGGTAACAGCACTGTTGAGAGAACCTCTAACTTCTCAACTCCACTAAGCAGGAGGAACACACTGCAGAGTTCCTACACTCCTCACTGGATCCAATGAAGAACAGTGACTCCATGAACCTGGTTCACAGACTCAATTTTGACATCTCTCAGCACAGCAGTCAATCAATCAACAGTCTTCTACAGAAGAGAACAAACGTTCTATAAAAAGCACAGAAAAGTCGCAGCAAGCAGAAATGCCAACGACACAGTCAACACTCCAAATCAATAGTTCTGATCTGCTACATGTATTACATACTTCAGTGTTAGGCAAGTATCTCAACCATCATAGAGCAAGTTTCAGAAAAAAAATGCCTAGACACCTTCCCTGTCCATAGAAATAGTATCATGGTTTTGAGAGTGATCACAGAGAATTCCTCCCTAGAACAGCAATGAGTCTTCTATCAGGCAGACTCTCTCCTTATTGAGTATTAGGAAATACCTTATTGATACATAGGCACTTCAGATTTCTTCCCTTGAGGAATGATTTTGGCACTACCTCTCCCTCTTTCTCTCTTTTCAACAACTGAAGGGGGAAGAAAAGGCAAAGCACGTTTCGTAGGTATTTCATTTTATTCAGAGTAACAGAAGCATCAGTGGGTATCTTTGCTCTTCCTATCTTTAACCACCTGTGTCTGCAAACTAGCTAAATCCAGTCTTACAGACAGCCACAGAAGAAATTCACAGTTTTACAACATGTATCATCTTCCCTATACTAAAAACATGTACATGAAAATGTACAAACACACATGCCTCTGTCACAAACTGGGCAGAGACCTTGTCTCTCTCTGTCATGCACCTTGCAGAGACCAGCAAAATTTGAAACTACCACATAACTTCGCAATTTCCGCATGCTGCTGTGACGAAACCTTTGCTGTGGATTTCCTCCAAAGAGGAGTATGTGTCAAGGTACCAAGCTCCTACACAGAGGAGGGTATTTCATACAACTCTAGGACCCTTCCCTTCCCATCTTACTTCACTTTCTTTTGCCTTTAAAAATGTTATCCAGCATCTAATAATCCTCCTAATTAGCCACAATATTGACAAAATTCACACTAAGTTCCAAGACCAAAATACAGCAATTACACTGTTCTATGAGCTGGAGCTATTCTGCCAATACACATTCATCTCCTCTGACAGGCTAATAGACAAAAGCAGGGCACCAAGAATACTTCGAGTTGTACTACCACTGAGAATACTGGAGGTCACAGTTTACAAAGGACTCGACTCCTTGGAACAAGCTTAATGCGCAACAACCACCAAAAAATCTGCATGCACAAATAGCCTTGGTATCTCTAGAACAAGTCAAAACATAAATCCAGAAGCACTACTGGAAATATGCTGACAAATAGCTTAATAAATAGCATTCACAAATATAATCAGAAAACAATGCACAGCTACGTGAAGCTTTCATGAGTTCTAGGTCCGAAAGAAAAATCCAACTGAGGTCATGATGACTTTAAGAGACAGTAAGATGAAAGTAGAGGTTATAATAAATGAATTTATAGTAAGCTATATTTAAAGGCATAATCGGAAAAGATTCATTGTGTCAACGAACTACATGTTTCAATAAAAACCTTATGAAATTTGAAATAGCTTTTGCTAACCAGCATCTCAAATACCTCATTATTTAACTGATGTCAAGAAAGCATCATGCACACAAAGTACAGTGCAGCAGCACGTCCATCACTTCGGAATTTCAAACATCCTTATAATACTGGAGTTGTTTGCTGCTTCCACCCTAGGTCTTTCAGACTTAAAAGCAACAGGAAGAATCTTTATTAATATCTAGTAATAATCTAGCAAACCTAGGTCTAAATTATCAAGACTACAAAGAACATGAATTTCAAAAAAAACATATCAAGGATGCAGAAGATTCTGTGGGTAGAAACAAAGCTCTCACTTTATTCTTGTCACAGCAACTAAGAGGAGTGTTTGAGCATTTCTGCATTATTAGAATTTCAAACATGTTGTTATACAAGTGAAAGAGATAGAACACCAGTGAAGAGAAAAAAAAAATTTAAAAGACCCGAAACCTCTTCAAATTTATTGCTCCCAAAACCTTGTAATCATCATCTCCTTCAAGTGGAACTTTTTCCCTGCATTTTTATAACTCTTGCCAATACTCCCCAAACTTGTAAGTTTGAAAATTAAACCCATTCAAAAACCAAGGAGTACAACATTGTTATAAAAGAAGATTAAAGCATAGCTGAAAGTATTCAATCAATCAGCGTTACACACGTGTTTCAAACACTATTTTTTTTTTAACAGTCTAACTCAAAGGCTTCTTCCATTGACATCATCTACAGAGAAACTTGCACCCCGTGTTTTCAGATAGCCATAACGCAAACAAAGAATTTTCTCTTGTTCTTAAGTGTCAAATTTCCAGATGAGAGTCTCTTCTCAAGGTTCTCTTACATTTCTACTCACACATTCATCACAACCTGTTATCTTTCATCTCTAAGAACCTGCAGAATTAATTTTGTTTCGTAGAAGTAACATTTGAGAATCCTTTGCCTAGTGTTACCCTTCTAGTGGGAACAAACAAACAGAAGATTCACTACAGTGAATACACAGGATCGAAGCCCGTTCTTAGGCGGTAAGGATTTTTGGCCTGGAAACAACATAACTTAAGAGGATAATAACAGAACCAAAAATGGTATAATGTAAGGCACTGTGGATTAACTGTTCATTGTCTTTTCTAATATTAACAACTACGGGATATCACATGAATATCAACAGAAGTTTCAAAACAAACCACAGAAGGCAGCTCTTCACATAAACAGCAGGTCAGCAGAACTTCTTACCGAAGAGTGTCATGGATGGGAAAACTGCTCACACATGTTCACAAAGGGACTAGACAAGCACTTACTGAAGAGACTCCCTAAAAATAGCACACAGGAACATTGTTTAAAAGTTCAAGAGACCCCCTGAGCCGTAGAGAGTCAGAAGCTAAGAGAATGCTCAAGGGAAAATATCCCAAGTACCTGTCCTGTTCTTACTCTTCTTTGCATGCCCACTGACACTGCAGGAGTCTCTATCCCCGATCTGAACTAGAACAGCTGTTCTCATCTTCTTACAACAGAGTATTTTTCCTTTTAAATTGAGTACTTTAGCCATCCTCAAGAAGTGGAGGTTCAGAAAATAAATTAAGAAAAATGTAAACCTGTGTCAATGCTGTTGGTATTTCATGGTCAGGAGACAAAAGAAAGAACTTCACTGGTAGAGAAAAAAAAACAGAACAAAGAATAAAAAAAAAAAATCTTCATTACTGACTAAGTAAAGAGGGAATAACAATGAAAGAAAACCAAACCAAATGAAAACTTCCTGACTTTAGTTTAGACATCACTGCTTCATTCTTTGTTTCAGAAGTATCAAATCACACAATGATGTAGATTGGAGGCAACCTCCAGAGGTCAAGTGCAACCTCCTGCTCAAAGAAGATCCAGAGCTGGTTGCTCAGGATCTTGTCCAGTTAAATCTGAGCAACTCCAAGGATGAGCATTCCAAAACCCCTCTGGAGGATTTAACAGCCCCTCACAGAAAAAAAGCTTTTCCTTTTATCTAAACCAAGTTTCTCCTTGTTTTCAAATTGTGTTTCCTGCCTCTCATCTTTCCACTGTGCAATTCTTAGAAGAGTCCAACTTTGTCCTCTCTATATCCTCCCATTAGATAACTGATCCTCCTTTCGTCTTCTCAAAGCTGAACGAACTAAGGTCTCCCAAGCCTGTCCTCCTATGTCATGTGCTCCAGCCCTCTAAACATCTTGGTAGCTCTCCACTGAACTTGCATCAGTATGTCAACACCTTCTATCCTGTGGAATTCAAAACTGGACACTATGCTCTAGATGCAGTCTCAGAAGTGCAGAAGGATGGGGGGGGCAGGGCAGAGAAATCACTTCCCTTGAACCTCCTGGCTACGCTCTTGCTAACATAGCAATAGATTGCGCAGAGAGGCTGTGGAGCCTCCATCCTTGGGGATATTCAAAACTCAAATGAACACAGTCCTGGACCACCTGCTCTAGGTGACTCTGCTTGACCAGGGCGGGTGGACAAGACTCCCTCTGGAGGTCTCTTCCAACCACAAGCATTCTGTGATACAACCTAGGACGCAGTTGGCCATCTTTCTTGCAAGGGCACACTGTTAACTCCTGTTCAACTTGTCCACCAGGACACCCAAGTCTTTTTCTCCAAAGCTGTTTTCTTGGCAGTTATCTTCCATTCCAGATGAACTACTGGCTTCATCTTGCACTCTCCATGATACTTCAATGGTAGGCAAAAGTGATTATAGACAAAAACCTGCACAAACTAGTCTCAGCTTCAAGTTTCCTTTAAAGATGGAATTAGCTCAGAATCAACCCACAAGATAAAGTATCAAGCATTTTCCCTCCATGCACCATTTCTAGCAAATTAAAAGC